AATATAATATATTATATAATATTATATATATAAATTTATATATTTGAATATGATTAGAGCTTATACTCTTATTTTTTTGTGTTCCAAAAAACTCAATAAACAATAAATGCAATCTATGCCGTTCACAAAGTGACGTCCGAGAACATAAAACACTTGTCACTCTAACGCTTCAAACCGTTTAAAATAAAATAAAAATTCATTGTATACTTAAATTACATATTGAGTTTTTCGATGAATCAAATAGCTGATTAATTTTTAATCGACCATACTTGGTTTATAAGATTCGGAAAAAATCACCATTTCTTATTATATCTTCTTTTTTTATACACTGTATAATACAAAAGGAAATCTACGATCTTCCATAGCAATTTTTGTGAAAGCAAATAATGTTGAAGTATTGCGCCAAAAGACAACTTTGTCATTACGCGCCGCAACGATTATATTGCATTTCACGCGATATCACAATAAATTTCGTCTACTGTTGCATAAGCTTGTGTTAAATGTTATATTTAATCGAGACACTCGAAGCGATATATTTATATGTAACTTGCAAGTACAACTAAGCTGCCACGAGAGAATTAAACGGAAACATATTTCCAATGTGTTGACATCAGTCATGAAAACTGAGTTAACCGAATATCAAAGAGAGAAGAAACAAAAAATCCAATATATTTGTCATTTAAAGTTTAAAGTATAAAGTACAAATCATTTCGTCATTTAAAGTATAATCTTAGGCCTTTTAAATCTGGATGTAAAACTTTTGTTTGAAAATTGTTTGATACTTGTAACTTGGTTAACTTGCGAATAATATTGTTGTTGGTCTCGAAATATTTGCAAAGTACTCTCTTCGATTAGAAGTTACGCTAAATGACAAAGTCATTTTGTAAACGAAAATTTAACGATATGCCGCATATTACATAACAGACGAGCGTAAAAAATTTTTTTTCTCTATGTATGTTGACACATTGTAGAAGTCGAATCGGCTAGGAATCGTCGACCTAAAACTGATCTAAACTAGACATCGTTAAATTTACGCAGTGATATGAATGTCCTGCTGTAGTGACGAACTCGCTAGCATGCTAATGCATGTTACTGTTATATCTTACTAATCTTTTGACGATAATTAGATTAGTTAATAATAAAACAAAGAGAGACAGTAATATAGCCATGTAATTGCAATATGCAATTATATAAGCAAATGATAAATTCTTAACAAATACATTTCATAAAAAGATTTCGTTTTTCTTCTTTATAGCTAAGTTCTTGGTGATCCATGGAGAAAAAAAAACAAAAAAAAACCAATATAATTATAGAATAATATATAATATTAATTATAATATATTGATTATATAATTAACTATAACGTTCATAAAGTATTTTCTTCGTTATTTTTTGTACATGTTCACTAAAAACACTTTTTCCATATTTCTTGTTGAGAAAATAAATATTAATATTAAATCTGTGAAATATCATCTCTCTCTCTCTCTCTCTCTCTCTCTTTCTCTTTCTCTCACACACACACACAAAACATGCGCGCACACACACAACATGCACACATACTCTCTCTTTACTCTCTTGCTCGCTCGTTTTTTCTCATTTTCTTTTTCTCCCTCTCTCGCAGACACATTATCACTTTTCCGCATGATTTTAACTAAATGTCTTTGTTTTGTGTTTCACTAGTTACAGTTCATGTTATAATCTAAAATTGGCAAAGTATTTTGCCTAGTAAGTTTATAGGCCTCTTTTTTCTATATATGGAACATTTATCCCCGGTACCATCTCCTCTAGTCCCAATCCTTCAAATTTTATGGGCACGTACCACGCACGCATGCACGCACGCACGCACGCATTCATGCGCACGCACTAGCACAGCAAACACGATTATAAATTTATACGTTCGATTTCTTCGCACCGTATAATTCGAAATAATGTAAGTTGATCGCTGCTCACGAGATTAAAAGAGCTCTTAGAGGCCTGATTCAAGAGGTCACCTATTATGGCTACTGCTACTCTGGTCGTTCATGTCGTACAGGACTTGTGCGATCGTTCTCGATGATTCAACGTTGCTCAACGCCACGCCCGCCAAGTGGGGCTCGTACGCTCTAAGATGCCTGCAAAGAAATCGTGAAAGGATTCGAGATCGCTTGCGAGAGACAACAATCGTAATACAATAACAAACTAAAACGAAAGTTTACCTTCTACCATGTGTTGAGTATATGACTAGGTTCCTAAGAATGAGAGCTGCCGTTAGGCGAATACTTTTGGTCACTGGACCTTCGTTGTCATCCTGTAAAATAAGAAGATAACAGTTGACGATCACGAGCGCTCGTTTTCTTTCCATACACAGGCAGCAATCGATACGAATGAAGACACTGATCTTTAATTGCTAAAAAAAATCTTATATGAAAAATGCATGGATATGGTATACGGCGATTCCAAATTGTATGATTTCTTTCTATGAATGCGTCATATGAGAGTCATGTTAATGTCATGTAAGAAGCTGCAATCTCTTGACGAAGCTGCGGTTCGTTTGTCCTGAATGCCACGTGAATTCCGTATATAACATGTAACGGCGACTCATATCCTTGCACCTTAACCATATTACAACAATAGAACAAATACACGTACGTACAAACAAACAACATATCAGACCTACGACTAACGCATCTACTTTGTAAGTACGAAGTCTGCTTTCTGCTGCTCTATTGAAACACTGTGCCAACACCTTCCTAACATGAGTATTGCGAGTCGGACACATGTAAAAAAGACAAATGCTACGAGATGTATATAATGTCGAAATAAAAATGAAAAAAAAAAAAAACATGCTATACAACAAACGGAAGGGTAAAACAAACGAGGAATTTGAGGGATGATATGGTGTGCGAAAACAGAGAAAGAATAAAAAAAAGCACAAAGAGGCGACAAAAGGGACAGCAACAGCAGCAGCGCACAGGAGCTGTGGCTGTATCGTGGTGTGGTTTCTTTCCAACTCTTGAACACATTTTTTACCTGTTCTGGTGGAGAATTTTGCCCAGGTCTGGGGGAAGAAGAGCTTGATGAGGTGGCTGCAGCGGGCTTGGACGGCCTCTGCTGCTTCGCCAGGGAAGAGAGAGAACAAGAAATTTCGTTAAATTAATCGTTCAAAGATTCTCAAAGGGACAGGATCGAAGACTGTCGGGAGATTTCACAGAATCGATTTGATAGAATATCAATTGACAGGGAGAAAGATTATAAAAGAGAAGTGTATTACGAGATATGTAGAATTACAAATCTGTGTAGCAGTGTAATTTGTATATTGATTTATACTATCGCAGGGAGAAAGTTTGCCTCAGAGACTATTCTCGCGGAGCATACAAAATACATTTCGCTTAACCATGTTCTTCCGTTCGTGTCTATATTTTTCACCCATTTTTATTTTAAAATGCATTCTATAAACATTATCCCAACTGATATTTTTCAACTTCATCAATCTTTTATTTTTAATCAAGTATAATACACACGCACGCACACAAAGCAAATATATTTTATTAAAATCATGTTAAGTATTCATTTAAATTTGTTTTAAATGTGTACAGAGAGAACACGAACAGAGAACGATAAACTCCATGTCTTCGAGCACAAATTTTAATGTTACGAAATGTTTTGCAACTTACCATTAACTCCTTAGGATTAACGAACTCCAGAGCGTGCCGTTTAATAGCGTGGAATGCGGCATTGGGTGCGTATCCGGGATGATGCGGAGTCGGAGGTATGGATGTGGAGACTTCGGTTTTACCCGTCACCGTCAACTGTTTCCTCCTTATCGACATTGTCTGAGAAAAGATCGCGAATGTGAAACTCTCCACTGATCTCACCCATTATTAATTTCAACGAGATTAATAAGAAAAAATAAATCGCAAAATTTACTTACATCCGCGTTACAGTGCCTATCGTAAAGGTGCGTCATTAACGAGAATCTGCGTCTCTTGAGAGCGTCACAACTCGCCCATAGACATAGTATCTCCTCGCCACCGGTGGGACAGTGAGCCTCGCAAACGTGAAGGTAGACTTCGTGCGGTGTTTTAAATTGTCTGAAATCGAGATACTTTTCGTATGAAACCGTTACGCGTCGTATAAACGGATAATAATATTTTACTCGATAATTTCAGAGATAGAAACCGATTAACAGAGAGCTCTCAATTTCAGAAATTATCTTTGAACTTACCTAAGACAACCTCGCCATTCGCACAGATAAGCGTTAGGGTCGATTTTGATCGTGATAGTTTTATTCTCCTGCGATGACGATTGCGATAACGCCTGCGACGCCGGTTGCTGCTGGCTCGTAGAGGGTTTTGACTCTGGCTCGGTAGAGGTCGACGAACTCACCGTCTTCACGACCTTCGTGACGGATGACGGCTTAACAGCGGACACGCCGTGGGTGGCGGCCGCCTGGTGCGGCGTCGTGGGTCTCGTGGGCGGCGGCGTTGATGCCGGGGTGGGAGTCACTACCCTGGACGGCACGCTGGTAGAAACCGGAGTTTGCTGGGCCATTGCCGGGATTGTAACAGTCACCGTGTTCGGGTTGGCCTGCGCCACCGAACTATTAACTATAATGGAGGCTTGCGGAATAGTAGCGGAAGTCGGTACGAGAGGCGGTGGAATGTTGCCGAGCGCCGGACTCTGTAAAATTGGTCGCGGCACTTGTGTCACAACCACTTGCTGCCCTTGCGGCGTTACCGCCACCATCTTCTGTGGAGTCGGCTGTGCAGTGGCCTGCGGTTGCAATATGATGATCGTCTTGGTACCAGTTCCCTGTTGCTGCGTCGTCTGCGCCACGAGAACGGTTTGAGCTTGTCCCTGCACCAGAGCTGTTTGAGGCTGCGCCAGTACATAGTTTTGACCGGGTACACCACCGGACACTACATACTGCAGCTGCCCACCAGCGCTCTGTTGTAGTAGCACTTGAGGTTGAGACGGGGGCGGTCTTCCCTTCACCGATGCAGTAGGAATGATAACCTGGTTGTTTGTCGGAATCGCCTGTTGCACGACTATCTGCCTGGGCGTCGTCACTATGAGTTGTTGCTGCTGTTGATGCGGCAACGATGGTTGCGGCTGCGGTGCCTGAGTGATTTGATTGATGAATATGTGAGGCTCTTCCTTGATGTGCAAAGTCGGTGGATCTTCCTTAACAAGAATAGTCGGCGTCGTGTCCGTTTTGACATGAAGAGGAGGAGGTGGAAGAGGAGCTGCTATCGTCGCCGCCGCCGCTTCCTTTATCGTGTCCTTGTTGACATTTACTTGTTCCTCCAGATCCGTCTCGTCTTCTATGCAATCAGCGGCCAAGGCGGCATAGAGATTCGCTGCGGTGGAGGAAACGGTCGCTTTTTCGCTGTCTTTATCGTCGTCTTGTTCCTCGGATTTTATACTCGATACCGTGGATTCCGCAGTAGTCGAGTCGACTGCTGGATCAGGCGACATCGTGCCATTGGAATATTTCGGTTTCTTGATATCCAATTCGTCCGACTCGCTAGCTGATCTCTTGATTCCTCGCGGCGCCTCGATTAGAGTGTCCTCGGATGCCTCATTCTGTATAACGTTGCCGCCCTCCATCTCAGTCTTGAGTTTCAGCTCGGTAGGAGACTCCTTTAACACTTTCTTGATGTGATTCTCCACTAGATCCATCTCCTTCTCGTTAATGGAATTTTTGCCAAGCACGCCGTTCAATATCGGCTCTTTGTCGACTTTTCTCTCTAGCAGATCCACTAGCATCATACTCTGTAACGGTTTATCTTTGGAACTCACGCTCGACGAGTCCTTGGATGAGCCGTCCTCCTGCGCATCGATATCCATATTGTTGTTGCTCGTCGGCGCGCCATTAAGTAGGATACCTTCAAAACTCGTCAACATGTTCTCCTCCTCGACGCCGACGCCGGAACAGTCCCTGCTGCCGCCGATGCCGCTACTCGACGCTAGCGAGTTGTTGGTAGAGTCCGAATCCTCGGCAATGGAAGTATATGTCGTGCGTTGATTAATCTTGTTTGGCGTAGCGGTGGCGACGGTGACGACAGTCGTTGTCAAGGGCGGTCGACAGACCTTCGCCGGTGAGGAGGATATGTGATTTTCAGTCGAGTTTACCATCATTGTGGTGGTGGAGGTGGTGGTAGATGTAACGATTTGATTGGCGTTGTCGTTATCATTTACTTCAGTCTAAAATATACAAGATGCTCGATGCAGTCGAGGCGACGTATGCCATGCAAAATCTCACCGAGCTTAGCTCGTAGAAGCTAAAGTACGTACCTTCTCGCAATTGTTAGTCACAACAAACTTGGCCCCGTTGAGCCTTTGTATCTTTTTGGCAGGAATAGGTGTGAGTGCCGATCTCTGCTTAGCGTTCACGGGAGTCTTTGGGAGTATTGTGGCTGGGGTGGCTGCAGGTGCGGCGGGTTGCATTACGCCCGTCATCTGTTGCTGCAATAACCTCTGCTGCTGCTGGCGTTGGGCAACCTAGAAAATGTCCGTGGTGATATCAATCGGGAAAAAAGCGCAAACAATCTTCCGAATTCTTTTCCAATATTACAGCATTTCTTAACGTCATCGATCTCACTATCAGAAAAAAGAGATATCATAGAAAACAATCGAATTCATCAAAAACCATGCTGTTGTTAGTGTTTAATATTAATCATATTTATTTCAGAATCACTCTGTTAAATATTGCTAATGGTGGTTCTTTAATCATAATATATTTGTCAAGAAGGAGAGGAAAGGACACGCCATTCTGGTCTGAGTTTATATCTCTCAAAAAAAGAAGAAACAACAAAATACATAACAAAAATTTGAATACATCAACCAACACTATCATAAGCGCAGACATTTTGACAAATACTAAAAAGAAAAATGCATATAAAACGTAATGCATATACCTATTGTATTCCTGTAAATATACTACTGCGACATAATTAATGTAGATTAGAAATTGGAATAAGTATCTTAACGAGAAAAAGAGATATCTTACTCTATAATATATAACAAAGTTTTTAAAAGATTATTTATCTCGCACGAAATGAAAGATAGAAAAAATTACAATATAAATTAAAAAATTACCTAATTCAATTTAAAAAAAGAATCTATATTAATTTACATGCCATTCTTTATTTTAAACTGCGCATATCGTTTTATATATATGTATAAGATTTAATATTTAATTCAAAATGCACATTAAATTTTCTCGTTATTATTTGTACAACATAATTATCATTAAAATATCAGGAAAACAATTCTGAAGATTTCAATCTGATATGTGTTGTAGAAAAAAAATGAGAAAACAAAAAAAAAACTACTTAAAATGTACTACTTGTTAATGTACAACAATGATACCTGGTTGGCTGCTGCTGGCGTTGGGCAACCTAGAAAATGTCCGTGGTGATATCAATCGGGAAAAAAGCGCAAACAATCTTCCGAATTCTTTTCCAATATTACAGCATTTCTTAACGTCATCGATCTCACTATCAGAAAAAAGAGATATCATAGAAAACAATCGAATTCATCAAAAACCATGCTGTTGTTAGTGTTTAATATTAATCATATTTATTTCAGAATCACTCTGTTAAATATTGCTAATGGTGGTTCTTTTATCATAATATATTTGTCAAGAAGGAGAGGAAAGGACACGCCATTCTGGTCTGAGTTTATATCTCTCAAAAAAAGAAGAAACAACAAAATACATAACAAAAATTTGAATACATCAACCAACACTATCATAAGCGCAGACATTTTGACAAATACTAAAAAGAAAAATGCATATAAAACGTAATGCATATACCTATTGTATTCCTGTAAATATACTACTGCGACATAATTAATGTAGATTAGAAATTGGAATAAGTATCTTAACGAGAAAAAGAGATATCTTACTCTATAATATATAACAAAGTTTTTAAAAGATTATTTATCTCGCACGAAATGAAAGATAGAAAAAATTACAATATAAATTAAAAAATTACCTAATTCAATTTAAAAAAAGAATCTATATTAATTTACATGCCATTCTTTATTTTAAACTGCGCATATCGTTTTATATATATGTATAAGATTTAATATTTAATTCAAAATGCACATTAAATTTTCTCGTTATTATTTGTACAACATAATTATCATTAAAATATCAGGAAAACAATTCTGAAGATTTCAATCTGATATGTTGTAGAAAAAAAAATGAGAAAACAAAAAAAAACTACTTAAAATGTACTACTTGTTAATGTACAACAATGATACCTGGTTGCTGGTTATTAGCTGGTTGGCACTGATGCTGGATGCGATGCTAGCGGTAGTGTTTGTTACACAGGCAGTAGGGGTAGACACACAAGTCGCAGCAGTACTGGGCATGCAGTCGCTGCTGATTGTTACCTTAGTAGCCAATAGGCTTTTTATTATGGAACTCGACGTAGTGCCACTTCGATTATCTTCCTTAACAACTACCTGGACACTTTGTGACTGTTGTTGCGGCTGTGGCTGTTGCTGCTGTTGCGGCATTTGGGAACCGCTCGCTAGCAACGCTTGGCTCAGATGCGGATGCGATACTGATACCTAATCGACAAGGAGGCAACATACAAATTTCAACCACCATAGCGGAGATCTCGACTTCGAAGAATATAGTTTAAGCATTTACGTGAGCACACAATCTGCGGTATATCTCGTACGTTATAGCGTGGCTATCATTTTGCGCAGTTGGAAGAAGCGTTTGGCAAGCATAAATCACAAATGATTACATGATTATATTGATTTCCTTGGAAATAATTCCAATCAATATTTTTTCTAAGACTGCAGCGATGATTGCAAATAAGAAATACGAAGTATTGTCCTACGTATAGCAAAGAAAGTTTCATATACCTTATAAAATAGTAGATGTAAAATTATAGATAATCTCTAAGAGATTTTGTGCAAAACTGAAATGAATGAATATTGCGCTTACGATAGTTCTACCTTATCTACGATGATCAGAGAGCTAAATCGAGGATTTGCACGAAGCATGCAAAGGAAACTCTCTCACCCCTGTATTACAAGGAAGTAAATTCTAGCTTGTGTGTTAAAAAGGAAAACCAACAGTAAGAATAGCGTTATGAAGCTACAACACAACCAAAGTGAGAACTAAGGTCATGAACGAGAACGGCAGAGAACGGTACAGAGAGAGAGTTAGGACTCGGACCCACCTGACTTTTAGAATCGACCTTGGTCACTGGATTTTGGGACTGGCTCGAGGTGTTGTTGGACGGGGGTTTCGGCGGTGCGGACAATTGGGCCTTGAGGATGGGAGACGCGGGGGTGGTGGAGGTCGTTTGCGTCCCGAACGACGCGGCGGGACTATCGAACTGGGGACCGGCCGTGCTATCGGGTGCGGGACTTATATTCTTGACTGTACGCTGTTGAACGGGAAGCACCTTTACTGGAGTAGTGTTGACCGCTGGAATCGGTAGTGTATTAGTCGCGACTGCAGCGGTAGTTTGGCTCGGATAAGTGATCGGCGTGGGTGACGCTCGTACGCGGATGCCTTCGTAATACTGGGTACCGGTATTCTCGCCCTTCAACGGATTCGGCCCCACGATACTGCCGAAAACGGATCTATGCACGGAACACACATGACATGTATTAAGAGATATACACGCATATTTTACATGTGATAATTTATACTTCATTGTTTGAGGAAATTACCTGACACATCTGGGAAAATGTAGCGGGGCTATCACGCCTCGTCTGCCGATTTTCGTGCAGCAGCCGAGATACTTTTTATACAACTCCTCCTGCTCGATGCGTATACCGGGCGCGAGCTCAAAAGTCGCTCTTACCCAATTTAAAGCGAACTGCTCGTTCTCCTGAATAATCTGTTGATGCGCGTTCTGCTGTTGAATCGCGTTAGCTGTCTCCACTGCTTCTATAAACATGAAAAGCAACGTCCGGCAATGTAAAAAAAAACACTCTCAGATTTTAACATCCTAGAAAAAGAGGCCAGAAATATTACATACTGTGCGTTGTCGACTTGGTTGAGGTCGCGGCAGGAGTTGTAGGTCGAGATGATGCCGGACTGGCAGGTGATGCGGTGACCGTCGCGGTAACCGTCGCTGGAGTAGACGGAGTAGATGCGGACGTAGTCGTTGCGGCGGCTGGCGCAGCGGGGGTAACGGAAACAGTGCCCTGCACAGCAGTGTTTTGTTGCGCCGCCACTGTGGACACTGTTTCAACCACTCGCATGAGAATACAAGCCTTTGGACCGTAACTTTGCGCCTCCACGGTGACGAGAGCGACCAGAGTGTCGATGGCACCACGAACTCGCGCGACGCTTGTGCACGGTCTCTCGCCCAGCGACGTTAAAGCGTATAAACATTCCAAAGTATACACTAAAAGGGCTATGTCGCTCAGGGCTAAAAATCTGCAAGCAAGCACGACAAAATCTTATATTACAAGGCTATAAATGTATTTTAAATGAGAATTATATCAATGACGCTAATAAATAGTGTTGCAATCGGTAAAAAATTATGTATAATTTTTCAAAAATATATTCGAAAAATCAGTGTTTACCTGCATATAAGTTCATATACATTGTCTGCCAAACCAAACGTGACAATTTCCTCGTTGATGTCCTGCTGGCTAATCTTGTTAAGCACCTCCAGGCAAGATATAACGATAAACCTGTCCTGAGACTCGATTCCCATGGCCACACACGACAGAACGACGTCCGTTATCCTCTCGCCGGCATCCTTTAGAATAATTTCGTTCGCTATGTTCCCTAGTATGTCAAAGCCGAGCTGGTGCAGATTGCTCCATCTCGCTCTCACGCACAGCAGGACAAATCGCAGGAAACACCGATTCCTGCCTAATATCACCGTGTTCTCTGGCGTGAAGCTGAGATTCCGCAGAATCGACGCGATCTGCAGTACACGCTGACCATATGGATCCTGCGTACCTAACGTCCTACCGACGCAAAACAAATCCTTATCCTCCTCCTCGAACTTGATGGAATTTTGGTTTTGATCTCTCAGGCTCTCGTCCGGCGTAAGCAGATCCAACCGTGGGCAATCTGGAAGCATCTGAAATCATACGAAATCACGACGTTTGAAACCTCGAAAGCAAGACAGGAAACAATTGCGGACAGTGAAGCGATTATATACTTAAGATTACTCCAAAGATATTGAATTTATAGAGATATCAAAGATATTTAAAGAAAGAAGCCACCATTTTACCCCATCGATATCAATCAGCGCCGTCGTCTCCTCGTTCTCCGTCGTCGACGCAGCGACATCCTGTTGCTTGCTCTCCTTCTCCTTCTCCAAAGTCTTCCGTCTGGAGAACGTCGGCAGACTTGTGAGTGGCTTCTTCATAAAGGTCCTTTCATTCGTGAGATCTATCACGTCCTGGGAGTCGAGCACGTCCGACCAGAAGGAGTTGATCGAATAGTTGCGGACGCGCGAGTACACCTCGATGAAGAGTTGCCGCGTACCGGGCGAGTCGAAGACACCGGCGTGCGCCAGGAGAATGTTCACTAATCGGGGATACTTGTCTAACCGTAGAGTGTGCTTGCCCTCGTTCGACAAAAGGGTGCAAACGTTGATGGCGAAGTCCTGCTCGTTCGGCAGCGGCGACAGAAGCGAGAGCGCGAGCTTGTCGTAATTCGAGGGCTTGTAAAGATCCGCCGAGAGTCCGTTGTAATCGCGCAGGGATTCTGAAAGTGAAGGAAGAATGGATATTTAAGTATTTTATGACAAAGAAATATCTCTCTTAATCTAAAAGTTAACTTCGTTCTTAAAATTAATTTTTTTTCTCTCAGTGATAATTCTCATCTCTCTATTTAAAAAAATTAGATTTTAGATAGATAACTTGGCTAACTATGTTCATGTAACAACAGTGGAATTTATTCAGTCAAAATTGACATCCGATTGACTACGATAATTGGCATCGATAACGATATCTCCGTACACGTATTCGGCGAAGTATCACCTGTATTATCTATCCTCGTTATGTCTATGTTAATGCAATATTAACGAGTGTCGGAGGTTTACCTTGGCTGTATAGATGCGAAGGTCGTGCAAACGTTTACGCATGTCGTATCATTGCTAAAACCTCCGACAGTTTTCAGCATACGATGTATAATAAATTCTCCGCGACCGCTTATTTAAAATAATTAAAATACGCCGCTATTATCACAGCGGCTAATTAAAATAATTAAAATGCGCAGCATCTCTCTGAATGCACCGCGAGATGTACAATCACTGGGAGAAGAGTATTTTATATATAAAGATAGAAAAAATATATTTCAATAGCGCTTGAATGTGTTAAAGGAATATAATTCCGTGAAACGAATTTCCGAAAATTTAAAAGAGAAATGCGTAAATTCACACACGGCCTTTTAACGTCAAATATATAACTTCCAACATGCTATACGTTCCCAGTGATTAGCATTGCAAATGCCGTTTTAACATGAATCGATAGAACTATCTCTCGCCTAGATGGGGGATTCTTTGGCAAAAATAAAGGAAGAAAATAAAAGATAATAAAATAGAGCACAAAAGAGTGGCAGATTCTTGGAGTTACACCGTTTTACGCAACGCGTTTACTCGAGACTCGTCTGTCTCGCTCTCTCTGTAAACTTTGAAAGTAACAAAACCAGTTAATGGCTCGGATGTATCTCTTATCGTCGCCCGTGTCGGAGAGCATTTTTGCGAACGTGTAATCCGCCAACGCAAGCGCGCCGATCGAAACATCTTTTCTCTTCGAACGCGAACATTTCTCTTCGTAGTACATCTCTGGCGATCGTCGACGGAATTGTCACGCGGCCAATCCGATCCTGCCGCGATTGACGACGGCTCATTGAGGCAGGTCATGGCTGGTTGATGCAACAAGAAAGCGGAGCTAGCATGATTGTGCATCGGATAGCGTTTCGAATCGAACGACGAAGTAAGCCACTCTTTTGCTCATCCGCGTCGTTTTATCGCACACGGCGAGGGATACTCAAGCTTTACATACAGATTCGCAAATGTAATGTAAGAAAAAAAAAATGAATAGGTAGCTTTCGCGAGATAAACATTATTCGCTCGCGTAACATTTTCATTTTTTTTTTTTACCACTATAATTCAATTTCAATGCAGAATGTGTATCGTATATTTAATATCTTGTTAAGACATCGAATATATGTATAAGCAGAGATAACAGAGATTGTACCGGCTATTTACAATATAAGATCAACATTGTCAAAGAGAGACTTTTTAAAAATATTTCCCGAGTCCCAATAAAATTCTACGAGAATACTCTCATTTTTCTAGGAACAAAAAAAATTCCTAAGAATTCCAGATGTTTTTTCAGAAAGCAAATACCCTATTTATTTATAAAAATTCAATCAAAAAATAAGCGATATATATATCGCAAAATTAAATATAAAAATTGAAAAGATCTAAATATGAATAAGGTCTAAATATACATATTATGTTACGTTATCAGTTGGGGGGGGTTCATAATGAGATCCGGAGCCGGGAAACGTTTATTTTGTTTAAGAAATATGAAAGAGGCAGGGTCGATAAGAAATGATTATCGGTTATTACTGTGGAGCGCTTATCTGAGAGAAGCGGCGATATCTTGAGCCGCAATATCTGGAATAGTAGAACCAACTAATCCAGCGTCCGATTCACCAGGGTACAACGGCTGGTTTATCCTTCCCCCCCCCCTCCCCCCGATAATGATAATCATCTCTCGTCGTTTTATCGCCATCAGGCACGATTCTCGATTTCAACAACGATGAAACAGACACGCGTTATCAAATATAATAGAATTATATGTTTATTAATGTAATGATTTTTTTACGTCGCGCGCTTACAATCAATTATGTTCGAGCAACGTCCGAGACGATTTGCAAAATGATCGACTTCATTCCCGATGCACCACAAGTAGGTTGTGTTCTCGGTCAAGGTCAGCTTTCTACAAGTGGCCGGCTAACGTTCCGCCAATGAAAACATTGGCGCTAAAATATCACGGGACTATTACAGTAAAAGTCTGATTTCGATTTTTTCAGAAAAATATAAAAATTCTTTAATAACGACGTACATTCTGTACCTGCGTGTATTTTCTAACTTTTCAAAAATAGTAGGTGAAAAAATTAACATAAACATCATCAACATTGATCGATTCATTAAAAAATTTACAGAGATAATTTAGGGTAAATCATTAATAATGCGCTCATTTACGATGGATCTTACTTTAAGATGGAAAGATTCTCTTTCAAACGTTCATCGTCAAGGATCTCTTTAAGAAAATATAAAAAAATATATGGGTAAATAATTGTGAGCATTCTTTTGCAATTCTTCTCTTCTTGAACTTTGTACGATCGACGAGACGATGATCGATTTGTTGAAGTGATAATCCTGTCTGTCGTCCGGAGCAAATTAGTTTCCTTTTCCCAGGCAAAGCTTTAGCATTAGCGTATTGAGAGCCGCGAACACGAGCTGAATATACGAGAGCTGAATGTACGTACAGGGCGCAACGTTATCGGGGATCGCGGTAATCTTTTCAGCCGCAAAACCGCGATCAATATCGCGTCCCAGGAGAAGTGTCGAGTTTCGTCCGGAAACAGGGGGGAGAGGAGAGGGAGATGGGGAACACAAACCAGCAACCGGTAACGGCGAAAGACGAAGGAAGGGGCCGGGGCGGGGGTGGGCAGAGAAAGGAGCAGGATTTCTCCGAAGGAGAGCCATGGTCTCGTTAATAAAATCACGGGTCGTCAACGATGCCGCGAAGTGGCAAGTATCGATTTCAAGCTGAACACCTTGTTTCCATGGCGTAATAAAGGGAGTGCTGCTTTATGTAATGGACACAAAGAAAAATTCTGTCGCTGATAAAAATATGTGTATTTTTATCCGTCTATTTGCAACACATTCCAACGTTATGTGCCACCAATTATCAAGAATAAAGATCTCTTCCAGTTTCTAAATTATATAATGTATCAGCTTCAAGAGAGAGAGAGAGAGAGAGAGAGCATTGATCCTTTCCGAGTTTTTACAGTTTTTTCGTAAAAAGAAAAAGAAAAGACGAACGTGTGATATCCCATACATTATCTATAATTGAAATTTGTATAACATTTTCCTCGATAAAGCGAAATGCGATTGATTCGTATTAACGGATCTATTTATAGCCCATTATTATGATAAAAGCAATACGCAACTGGCGCACTGTCATCGTACGACATCGTGTTTCCTCGCGTTCGATCAATTCACTTCCACACCCGCATCAGTATCAACAAACAGTTAACTATGATTAAATACCGATAAATAAGCGATACGCTGACATGACCGAAGATCGATCGATTTTCATTCGTAACCACCGAGACAAACGTTATAATCCTAGCATTATCGCTTTACTCCACGTACTCTGTGTTCATTAATAAATAAACTAAGAGTCTGGAAAATATAATTTCGTAAAGAAAGAAAGATTTGACGTTTACGAAATAAATGATAATTCCATGCGGGGCACGGGCCATTCTTTCTCTTCCTCCCTCTCTCTTTTTTGAGCTATCTCGCTTTTAAAAATACGCCCATAAAAATGACTAAAATAATATTCAATATGAGCGCATAGCGGGATGAAACGAACATCGTATGGTCCGCGCGCGTTAATTGGCATTGCAGTCTGCTGACAAACGCCTCGTAACGAGATGAGCGCGCGCAACGCGTCGATGGCACCGATGGCACGCGGTGCCCCCTTTTCCTCCCACCCCCGAGACATCGTCGCGTCAATCGTCGCGACGTTTGACCACAGGTGGATTCGATCGAAGACTAGGTATTTTTAACATATGCTCATCGAATTAATTAATAAAAAAATCGTTTTGGTAAAATGTTGGAATTGTTTTCAATTTTTACTTGATATTAAAATATTCAAATCTCTCTTGTGCTTTTTTTCGTTTTCGGCTTTTAAAAACGCAATATTTACGACTGTGTTGTCTTGGAAATATTCATAAGTTTTTCTCATTATCGTGTATATATTTTTTTTTTTTCTGTAGCAGTTTATAATCACTATATTATATATACTTTGTAAATCTCACATTATCCCATCTTTTTATATAATGCTATTATGCTCTGTACTAATTTACACGCTCTTAATTGTATCAAAAATAATAAACATTGTTATAATAATTTCCATAACTATCTATATTTAAAAATATACATCTATCCTCCAAATACATCGAAATTTCGTAACAATATTTGCGATCTGAGATCGATATCGGAGCTGACAGTATTCGAAGGACTTAAAAAGGACACGGGTCGACAGTTTCCTTTTCTTCTAAATGGCCATCTCTAATCTAGTACACGATACAGCACAACACACACGGAGCCAGGTATCGCGAGCGAGCTCTCTCGCTAGAATCGCGGCGAACATCACGCAAGCGCGGGCATTATACCGGGACGATCAAGAACCGACGAAACACTTATCCCCGCAAACGCTTATTGATTGTGACGCGCGCCCCGTCGTGTCTCTCGCTCCCGCTCTGTCAGTCTCCCTCTCTCCGTCAACGGTTCTCTCCCACTCACAATGGCACGCACGTGACAAGAGTGTCAACTTTTATAGTTAATTAAGACCTTAATTTAAATTCAATACACTTCCTCTCCTTTCGTCCCGCTCTTCTCATCCGAGAAGAATAATTTTTTGACACTTGGTAGAAAGTTGTGAAATGTCAAATTTTTGAAAAAAATGCTGCGTATTGTGAAACGAAAAAAACGTGACTGTATACCAAAGCAATTGCAATGGCCATTTAACGACCACGCATCGCGAATGCTCGATGAACGATTCAGTGATCGTGTAACACGCGATTCTCGACACATTCAGTGAATACGTGTATATGCACAGCAAGAAACAGGAGAAAATTTTACGGTACATGCATACTCAATCGAGACTTCCTCGAGCGTACAGTTGATCATCGCAAAAATTATTTTTACAGAAATTTCGTCATGAAATAATGATTAAATTTTTAACGAAAAGTAATATCGCATAATTAACAGGAAATGAATAATGGCATTACAATTATATCGCTGACTCAGAAAAGAATATACCGTAAAGTAAACATTAATCATCATGTTTCATCACAATGATTAACACCGATCGATCTCCGATCTAAATCTCTCGCGTATATTTCTAACAATAAGCCAATATTTCTTAATCAAGTATGTCGTGCGATATATTAATGTGTTTCAATAATTACGCAAAAAAAAAAAAAAATCTTTTTCTAATATCAAAGAAAGAAAAGAGTTGATTTTTCCCTCCCTAAAAATTGGCGCGTTCCTAGTAGTAATTGCCCAACATACGGTTTTGCGCATAATCACGGAGCCGGGAGCAAACGCAAATGATTAGGCGAACGATAATCGGCATCGATACACGGAGGGGGATGAATCGGAATGGAATATGGGAAGGGGGAGTGAGCTTCCCGCCAGGGCGCCTTTACTGACCCGGTTCCGGACGAGCGTCGCGCCAAGGGGGTCGAAGGGCGAGAAGAGGAAAGTCGGAGTCGCTCGCTCGCGACTTGCGCGGAAGCTCCGAGGTCGGCGCCGACTACCAAGAGGACCCCGCCAAGCAAATTAACAATCGTTACGTACACGTAGATATCGGTAAGCGTCATTTTCCCCCCTCCCCGATAGACGGGCCTCGCACCCTGGGCGCTGCGCGCTCCCACATCATCCCCCTCTTCTAGTTTTCACCCTCACCACCCCAGTCATCCGGTTACCCCAGAGCTTCTGGAGCGAGGCTGCCGCATGCGACATGCGCATGTGCGCCGAGTATAGACCCGCGCGCTTTCCACCGTCGACGAACGGCAGTGTATATGCGCTATACTCCCCCTATTTAACTTATACAGGATGTCCCAGCAAAGGACCATATGTCCTACCAACAGATTCTCCAGGTCAATCTAGAACTGATTTTTTCTTAGCGAAACGGGTCGAGGCATTAATAATTTTCGAGTTATAAACAAGAGAGACATATTTTAAATGGAATTTATTTAAGTGACATTCTAATTCAACCCGAATCGCAAAGATACATTGATGCTAAACGATTTTAATATACTCGTTAAGGGAAGAGAAAAAATATCTTCAGACCAGCCGAGGAACGTGTCATCACAAGGGAATACCGTCGAAATATTTGGGACACCCTGTACATATGTGTGTCATGATTATCGCCCATTAAATTATCTTACACACCGTTCGCACGACCCCTCCCACGCTCCCCTTTTCCCTTGCCCCTCGTGCGCGCGAATGCAATCGCGGCTCCCAGCCGGGGGGGCCACCGCCGACTCGCATGTGCGCGCCGCTACGCTATCTATCTCCCTATATCCCTCTCCGGCTCGATAGCCCGCCACTGCTGCTGCTCCAAGAGCAGCAGCACGTCAATAACCCGTTGCCGCCTTGGCCGCGGCTACGGTATACGTGGTACGTATATAACCGCGCGCGTACGTCTACGTCTCCTGCGAAGGCAGGTGCAGACGATGCCGAGAGTCTCCTCCGCAGAGTCGCGCCGAGAGGGTGCCCTAATTTGATTATCCCCATGCAAATGTCACGATCGACGACGAGCGTTGACCTGTTCCCTCCGTCCCCCCTCTCTCTCACTAATTCTCATATCTATAAATATCGAAAATGTATCGAGTATTAATCGCTCTCCTCTCTTCTCGTTCGTTTTAGTCGATTTCTATTTTATACCGCAAACGCATACGCGATCGTGAAAAATTCAGATATTCCTGGTGATGGATGAAAACGAACTCGAGAGGAAATATTGCGTAGATTCTTGCAAAAGAATCGCGCGATATTTTTGCGCAGCGTTGCCGGGGGACGACACGGGACAAACGAATGAAAAATTCTGGCGGGCGGAAATTGCTAACGTAGCGAATTATTGAACCGTGACTCGCACATGCAAACAGAGAAAAAGATAGAAAAAGAGAGAGAGAGAGAGATCGAGAGAGAAAGAAAAGGGGAGAACGTTGCGTGCGCGCGATGCGACGATCAAGTGCGACGAGGAACGAAACAATGGGCGGTGGAAAACGCGCATTTGAAAGTCGCTCGACCGTGGATACGTGTATGCCAACTGTATCGAGACGTACGCACCGCGTATAAATTGGCAAAAGCGGTTTATGCGTGCGACTGCGTTCGGCGGATTCACCATAAGCTCGCGGAAAACAACGCAATAACGATGTGTATTTTTTTTTTTTTTTTTTTTTTGCACTTTCAAATCTATTGTCAAGATATTGTAGATTCTTCGACGTAAAATCTCACGACTCACCTGCGATGTTGTGCTGATGATGATTATAAGTAAGAGGAACAGAGTGCAGTGCTCTGGCCGACCATTTCCGATGTCTGGAATCCTCATCGTCGTCGTCAGCCTGTTGACCATCCTCGCCTAGGAAGTGGACCTTCTCGTACCTGTCCAGATACCTGGAACGAAAACACCAAGTGTTTTAGTATTCTAAGAATTTTATTTTCGACTCGAATAAGATTTCACACCCACATAATATAGTTGAAGAGGCATAAATAAATTATAAAAATATCGCGTGGTTGAAATATCGAAAAGATCATCTGCATAATTATAAAGACAACATGTTTCAATTGATTAGATCTTAAATGCATCTCATTGCGAAATTGATTTTCTTATCTTTTGTAAAGAAAAATTATCTTTCTAGTAATAATATGCATTATCGCAATTTTCGCTTTCCATAAAAGGCTCGAAAAATTTAACTTTTTGAAGACTAAACGTTTCGAGAAAGACAATGCATTTATCGATTACATATTCTTGTTCCTAAAATAATTTAATAAATTCAATATTGCAACAAAACTACGAGATTTGGACAGGACAGTATGAAACACTAAAAATATTATATTATAAGCGATAAAATAAATAGATAATTCCACCAGTGGAATCACTCGAGTTTCGTAAGATTAACCGCGCGACCGTGACTCCTCTGATTCGAAATCGATTGACATTTCTAGAGAACCGGTTGACCCTCGGCGTGTCACCCACGTGGCGCGCGGTTCAATCTTGAGAACGCAACATCTCGCGATGGCATTCTACTAGCGGTGCAAAGATATACAGAACTCTCTTTTCAGACCAAGGACCAAGACACCGATCGACTAAGCGATTGTCGAAAGATCGACGAACTCGCGTGATGTCCGCGCGAACAGGGTAGGTGCCAGAGATAAATAGAGAGAGAGAGAGAGAGAGGCGTAGAGGGACAGTCATGAGTCGGCGAGGGGGAGAGAAAAAGAGAGAGAGAGAGAGAGAGAGAGAGAGAGGATATCGAGTCGTGGGTGGGCGAAAGAAAGTGGTGGGGGTAGGTGTACTGGATCCATTCATGCAACCGACGTACAGCGCGGAAGGTGCAGGCAGCGGAGAGCCAAGCAGCCAGAGCCTGATTGGCCGTTGGCGGGTGCGGACTGCTGAATACTACTACTCCGACTACTGCAGCGGCAACGTGCTACAATGTGTCAGTAACGTATTATTGACTGCTAGCGCAAAGTAGCCAGACGGCCATGGGCGAAGCCACGTGACGTCCACGGAATGTCTTGGGAGGACGATACGACTCTTCAGCGATTCAGATACATTATTGTACAAGAGACGATCAACGCTGATTCCGATTAATATAAATTTTTCTTTATCGCGTGCATCGTCATTTGCATCGTAATTTAAAAAACGTAGCGAAATACACTGAACCAGGATTATTTAATCCAGTTGATGGCGCTCAAATACAAGAACATAGCAACATATCTTTCTTCAAATTTAAATGCCCTCTTGTCGATCTAATATGATAGTTTGTATCTCTAGAAGATGATGTATCATTAATTAAATATATTAAGAAGTTCCAATTAATAATAAGAGTTTGCGTGTTGTTTAAATTCTTATCATGAGACATTTAAATCTACGAAATGGATTGATCAAAATTATATGAGCTACTCTTGCGTAAAAAATGCAAACTTCTGACAGCCTCTTATAGTTTACAATGCAAATTTTGGTATGAATTGTCACACACGTGTCATCGATAAGAGAATCGTGAACTCGGTGACGCTTGTCGGCCACGCGCGCTAACAAGATTGCAGGACTCGCTCCGGAAAGAGAGAAAGAGCACGAGGGGGAGAGAGAGAAAGAGAGAAAGAGCGCGCGAGAAAGAGAGGGAGGGAGAGGAAAGCGAGACTCAGGAACCACGTGGTGGCTCTCGTCAGCGAGACCGGGATATGAATGAACGAACGTACGTAGTACGCGATACGGAAAATGGTGGTGGGGCGTAGGGACCAATGCCGATACGCGGTGTTGGCCGTGCGGCAAAACGTTGCTACTCCCTGCCTCTTGCAGACGCTCGCGGACTGCCAGACGCAATGGAACATTGTAGCAAGCGCGACGCGACGCGACGCGACGCGACGCGACGCGGCGAGAAGGCGCCGAATCAGGCGAGCCGTCTTCCGACCGATTTTCCGCAACAGATCGACAGGTGCTGCTCGGTTCCAACCCGCAATGGATCACTCAAGGGACCGAGGACCAAGGGACCAAGGGACAAAGTTGAGCGGACCGCGTTCTAAATAGTGAAATTGTTCGTCCAATTTGTTCGCAGCGATACGGTTGTTTTACGAGGGAGGAAAAAAAAATTGTGTTTACAAAAAAATACACATTTGACATATTAATAAAGATTGACAAGGACTACGCGTTTTTCATGGCGGGTTGACGCGATATTGGATAGCTCTGATGTTTCGATAAGGGGTTGTGGCAAATCGTTATTCGTAAATATTCAATGAAATGTCAATCAAGTATCTTAAATGTACAAGAACTTACCGAAGGTAAATTTGTTTAAGGCCGACCCCGCTGTTGACGCAACCGCTGGGCAAGTGAAATTGTTCGCACAACGACGCCCACTCATTTCTGGTATTGACCTGCAATGAATAAAAAATGCCAGTATGAGAATCATCTGTGAACGAAAATAGTTGTGCGAGAACAAATGCGCATTGATCCGGAAACCTTTAAAATTAATCGTATTTGATAAAATTGTTTGTAGGTATAATATCCTAGCACACGTTACTCAATACTTCAACATTTCCTCGTTATTTTAAGCTCGGACTCAGCACTTTGAAATCGAAAATAATAAATCAAAGAAATGCGCGTATACAGATTTCTGTTATCAACGAATAATATTACGCAGTAGTAACGCATAAATTATTTAAAATATGCGTTTCAGCAGATTATTGATGTACAAGCATCAAAAATGTATAATATGCGATTGATAAATATTAATTTAACGTGTCGCAATGTGACGTTTCAATCAATCTGTTTTGTATATTATACATACATACATATGCACACACACCCATATATATATATATATATATATTCGCGATTTTTCATTAATGAATGAGAGATTCGACAATGACACATCGGCAACTTTATTTTGATATTACGCGAATTGATTATTAATTAAGATACGATAATAGCGAAAGTTAATCATTCACACTGGCTTACAAACTTTAATCTTTCGTAGAAAATTGCGATTATACTTTGAGAAATATTATAATGCGACAATATAAGAAGCAGCTTAAAAAAAAAAGAGATCAAAATTTGTACGTAAAATACATAAATCGAACATAAATCACATTAATCGAACATATTACGAAATATATTCATGTAGAATATTCTATTCCATGTATTTTTTAAATTAATTAACGTGAAATGTGTATACTATTTTCGTTAGTGACAGAGATAATACATACTTTTATTATGTCAAGATTTTTATGACCCCGTTTCTCGACTGATCTTTCTTTCTCCCTCTTTGCAATAATATTAACAAGATTCAAAGTTCAATATACAAGCTATCAATAAAGATTCCGCTATTCCCTTCGTCATTTAGATATTCGTCGGAAAAATCTCCCGGTAGCGATGGCACGCGAGATAAGCTGCAATGCGGCGGGACATAAATTTCTATGCGGTCGACTGAAAAAATAAACGACGCTACTCGGATTACGCGCTGTACGCGAAAATACAATGTGTCCTAAAAGATCCGATTTTAATTTTATAATAGTAAATTTTTTTTACAAAATAATTTGTAAACCATTTTTATTAACTTGGGTATTTTAACTTTAGGTATTCAAGGAATCTTTTTAAATTTCGTAAACGACAAGCAAAGATTGCTTTTAAACTTTCCTAAGAAAAAAAAACTGCTAAAAATTGCTCAAAGAATCCGTTATTAAAATCGAGGGAAAAAGATCTCTGAGATACTCCGAGATAATGCTAATCAGCGGCATTGCCTTTGATCATCGTGTTGCGTTCCCGGGGCCGAAATGCGAGCTCACGATTAAACCAAGATCTACATTCCGCGATGGAAATAAATGTTTATTGCGTTCGCGTTTATTTCGGTTTATTACACGCGCGGAAGGAATCCGTGCGTTTTCGCCGCGCGTCCCCACTTCATTATACATCGTATCCCAGACTCTGCTATCATAGATGAAATATCTGTTTCAAATAAATTTTTTATTCTTCAGATGAAAGTACGAGCATAATTTAATCTTTATTTAACTGCGTGAGATCGTAACGACTCTTATCCATCTCCTAAACACAAGGCGTAAAGAATGCGTTTTTTTACTCTATGCATTCTTACACAAAGTCATATATATGCGATTGATACGAGAATTAATCGATACGAATCTGTAATATATTTTTCTTTTTATTGATAAATCTGAAGCGAAAGTAAGCGTTTATTGTTCAAAATTAAATCAAAGGAACACGCCTAAAAGTTAACAATATAAAAAGCAAATATTTTACTTTTATATTTTCTTGTTCCCACGACGTGCGAATATCGGGGAACCGTCTCCGCGCAGACCTGGCACGTGGTTCTACATGTGACACGTGGCCACGCGACGTAGAATCATCGGCGGCAGTCCTGCGCTCTCAAAGTGCGCTTTAAACAGCGGTGACAACGGGCAGGCGGCGGCGGAGGAGGAGAAGGAGGAAGAGGAGGAGGGGGAGGAGGAGGAAAAGGAAGACAGTTGGGGGCAGGGAGTCGTTGTTCGTAAAATCAGCGACGACCGAGCATACTGGGTCAGTGCTCCCTGGATCGGCGCCCGTGTCTTCGCTCTATTCTGGTCACCATCGTCGTCGTCGTCGTCGTCGTCGTCGTCGCGACGCCCGACGATGAAGCGGGAACGTGGCGCCTCGCCGTGGACGACCGCAAACGTCCGGTCGAGCTTGTTGCTCGGTAACCGAGTAATAATAGTTGATGAGAGACAGGGGATATGCGACTTGTGCACGACGCGTATTTTAAGAACGCGGATGCAAAATGTCGATAATTTGGCATCGATGCGAGATATTAAATTTATGTTGACGGAGTAACATGGTAATTTTACATCCGAAACGTCGACACGAATAGTGAACATCCGTTTTCACGGTCTAATATTCATAATTTTTGTGAAATATTTAAAGATTTTTTTTTATATAGGTAGACACTATGTTATATAAACTTAAAACTTATATAATATCAAGTAGTTATATAAGTATAATCGGATATGATAATAACGTCCGGTATATTTGCATTTATCTTGATTTTCTTTGTAATACTCTTAGGAAGCGTATCTCCTTCCCTCGTTTACATAAGTAATTGTATAGCATAACTGTTCGAGAATGCAAGAAATCGATGACTCATAAAGTGTCCTTATATATGCGGGCTGCATCCTTATGTATGCGGGATATCATTAATGCAACCCCAACTGTATACACAAACGTCTTTATAAAGCTTCTGAAAAAAATATATAATTCCAATTTGACTTTTGCGCGATAAAACGGCTTCGCTTTTATTCCACTATCGCCATTAGACTTGTAAAAGAATTGATCCCCATGTCGCGATTTCATCAACTACACGAGACGATGCGTGTAAGGACTCATTCTCGTGCAAAGAGTTCGTATCTGGTGGAACTAATGCAAGCGATTGTACTTGCCTATTCGATCGCGTGTCGATTTCAGGTATAAATATCGAGCCTGCGCACCAGGAAGCGTTTGAGGAAAGGCGTTTCGTTTCCCGCCTAAGTTTCGATCGAATGGGTGAGAGCGCGATTAGGTCGGTACCATCGGTTGTCGCCACGAGATTGTAATCGCGCGACTTTGCTCGACCTTGATGCAGCGATACGAACGGCGCGGCGCATGCGCGGCGCGGGCATGTTCCTCGGGAGCGTCGAACGACGGTATCCACACCACGTGGTTCGGCGGGTTCCGAAGCGCGATGCATGATGAAAGTGTCTTCGGCGCCACGTGGTCGTTGAGGTAGGACATGGTCCCTTCTCTCCCCTCCCTCTCTCTCGCTACTCTCTTTCCTTCCTTCTCGCACGCTCGCTACTCTCTCCCACCCCCTCCTCTCTCGCGGTTCGCTCTCTCTCTCCCCCCACTACTTTTCGCTCAACACACGCTGCCGCAAACGCTGCGCCTATGACTCTCCCGCGTCTTCCGCTTCTTCTTCTAGCGCGCATCTACAGTAGGGTACGAGACACGCGGGGAACTGCAACCGTCGTCATCGATGTTCGTCACTTGGGTGGCTTCGATCCTCGGATACGTTCATACAGAGTGTTCCAGCGTTATCGTACCGTCGTCAGAATTCAACTCACCTACATCTTCGCGACGTCATTCGCTTCTCCGATTTCGCCAACGTAAGAAGATACGTTCTTACTTTTTTCCCGGGGCGATCTCGCGGGGGAATTAATCCACGGGATCGGCAAAGTGTCAGGCGGAATTAAATTCAGGGAGGCGCGAGCTAATCTCGGAGGAATCAACCCTCAGAGCGTCTCGTCGTTCCAACTTGTTCGAGTAATTCATCATCGCGCCATTAAGCCACGAAAGATGAAATTAACTCCGGTACTCTTTCTCTCTTACGTAAGGAGATCTCTGTCGCTCTAGACGGCAGGATTTGCACGATGGTTCATCTCGATCGTCGCGGAACCAACGCGCGTTAATATATGCGGCGATCGTTTATGCATAAACACGACGCGACGCAATCCGTGTATACGGGGCGTTTGTATAGCGAGCGATGTCATTAGAATTCCGAACGGCAGGCACCGTTTTTCTCCTCGAGCAACGACGACGACAACGGTGATACCAATCGCGATATTTCACCGTGAGACTGGTTGCGATATTACGTATACACTCTTATAATGGGTTCCCTTGGAGTGGATTGTAGCGAGAGAATCGTGCTACGATATCGTTATTCGATATATCGATGAGAGCGAAGGAACAATAGACCGATTATCGCCATCGGATGCTAAACTCGGAAAATTTTAATCGATAAAATCTCGCGATTCGAGATATTATATCTCTTATGAGTGAAATTAATATTTTATGTGTGTGTGTGTAGCGAGCGATACACAGACAGAATATAGATTAAATATCATCACATTTTATATTAAATATAAAAATTTGTTAATCTGAAAACAATATAATATTTTTATTCTAGAGATAATGGAATCGACAATAATACTGTTATTCTCGTTCTTCTTCCCTCTCTTTGCAAGAAAGGAATAGAATCGACGCAAATAGCGTTTAACGAGAGATATCGCAGCTAGAAATACTACGCTTGTGAATTCGAAAAGGACACGGGAGAGCTGGTAACTTGAGAATTTCTCGTCTTCTAATAAGGGTATTTCATTACGAAATCGAATTACCGCTAACCGTGTAAACGGATTCTCCTTTAACAAAACTACTGCGAGAGATTGTAATAATCATTAATTACATTTCTCCCTCTCAAGGTATATACTAAAGCTTTGTCGGCGTAGCTACATATATAAAACACGTTTTCTTTTCATCCCATCAAGATTTCATAAAAAATACAGTTGAATTATGATTGAATGAGACGCAGGTTTTTATTAAATGAACTTTGCCACACTTTACTTAACTAAAGGGGATC